TAATTGATGAAAGAAATCCCTGGAGAAAGCCTTGAAGTTCTTGAAGTTGAGAGAAAAGATGAGAGAATTTTGGAGAGTGTTCTTGGTTGCTAAGTGTAGAATGAAAGGGCTTTTAAGGAGAATGAGGAGAGAGGACCAATCCTCCAGCTCTTAGAACGTGGGAAGAGCTGGAGATAGGGTGTAAAGGTCCCCCAAGGAGACAAGGGGTGGTTGGAAAGAATGGCTGATCATAGAGTGAGGTGGTGGTGGCTTGCTTTTGTCATAAAATAAGGAAAAGCAAATATTCCCTCAATAATTAGTCCAACCACCAATTCTTTTAATACATTTTTATAAAAACCCTGGAGATTTATATATTTTGGGGCCTTAGTTTATAAAATAAAGTTTTGGGTGAAAATCCCACGTTAAAATAATGAAAAACGGAGTTAAAACGAAGTCGTAGTCGAAAAACCGGTAAAAAGGGGCCGTTTGCGAGACCTCTCGCATGGGCTGTCTGAGAGGCTTCTCATGCGAGGCTTCTGTCCTGAGAGGCTTCTAATGAGAGGCTTCGGTCCTGAGAGGCTTCTCATGAGAGGCTTCAGTCCTGAGAGGCTTCTCATGAGAGGCTTCGGTCCTGAGAGGCTTCGGTCCTGAGAGGCTTCTCATGAGAGTTTTCGCTTCTAATAGGAGGGTTTTGGTTCCTTAAGGTTATTTTACCCGTTTTTACCCCGTTTCAAGTGGTTTTTGACCCGGTTAAGGGTCGATATGACCCAAATGATTACAAAAAGTTAAAGTAACTTTTGAGAGAGATTTGGGAGAGATTTCAAATAGAAAGAGATAGAGTGAAAACGATTTAGAGAGGTTTCGTTTGTGATTAATTTGAGTGTCCGGCTTCACAACGCAAGGTTCGTAAACCCCGTTAAACCGTGTTTTAGTGTCGTACACACTCCCGATGAGTGTGCAATAATTTTTTTATCGTTTTGGTTCAATGTTTACTGCATTTGAGACTTAGAAAATTCAACACACGAACTTTCCAAATAATGTTTCTCTCATTAAAATATTGCATTGTACAGTAATTACATAGTGTAAACCCTAATATACAAGGGTTAATTGAGTCGATTGGTTTTGACTTGTTGACTTTGTTTGACTTTGACTTGACTCAATTTTGACGGTTGTCACACATATCCTGTGTCCCATCAAACTCTGGTGCATCGTGTTGCTGAACTCCCAGAACAACAACGAGTCACCTCGCTGTGGCCTAGCAGCGGCGACAGCTGCAGTGGCGACAGCAGCAGTAGCCTCAGTGACTGCAGCGTATCGCTCATCAAATGTCTCAATCAGGGTGGTCTTAATAGACCCAAACATCTCGGGAATCTCTGCTCGGATAGCTGCGGCCACCTCCTCGTGAATCATCCTCCGAATCTCATCATCACTAGTCCCACTTCCTCCAGGGTTGTGGCGTGTACCCACCATGATGCCTCTGAAACACAACACAAAAATCATCAGAGACTCGCTCGAGCATACTAACACTCGATCACTCATCCCTACTTGTTCCTTAGTTTCCTCAGGATTCTTACTTGGGTCGTATACAGATCTGGGGTTTTCAGTAGTACGGGCCCAATACTACCTTCCACACCCGGCCTGTAGTCACCCCAAGTCCTCCTCCTAGGATTCTAATTCCCAAGTACTCTATCTCTCTCGAATATCAGACTACTCTCGTCTTAGAATTCTCTCTGTAAGTGTTCCTGCTCACTACTCTCATTAGCACATACTCATAGCACATAACATGTATCAACGACTCTTAAGCTAAGGCATCACAAATCAGGCAACCCCAGCCCTAAGAGATGAAATACCTAGCTCATTCTCTAGCATGTATCACTATTATTTCATAAATATCTCATAACACACTAAGTAAGGGTATTTTGGGAAATCACCGTTCGGGCTCTGGCTGATTGTACACACTGCTCCATCTCGATTTCTCTCTAAACTCTTTCTCTTGTTAGAAAAATTTTCAAATTTAAAACACATTTTTCTCAATTCAAAACATCTCAAGTGTCATAATATCAAATCATCAAAACACATATCCAAAAACTGTACGTATAGCAAATCCAGGATCCTCTCAAAACATGACTCAAATCTCTAATGTGAGTACAATCAAGCCAGTGCCTTCCCGTGATCCTGAGAAGTACCTGAAACACATAACATATAACACGGTAATGATGAAGTGTGGAATCAACTATGAATCAAATCAGAGTTATACGAATATAGATTGAACACGATATGTAAATATGATCTTGTTTCAGCTCGATTATGCTTTCAACTGTTACAGAGAGAAAAATAGACAAGACGTGCAAAGACTCTTATCTAACTCTAAGTAATGTCCCTATTTAAAGGAAACGAGAAAGCACACAAAAAGTTACAAGGACTAAGCAGTACGCTTCGTTACATAAAATGCCTTGTAAAATAAACTTATGACTTCGACATATTACAACTGGTCTTCGACCCTTACATTCTCCCCTTTGTAATAATGTCGACCATCTTCAGTTCAAAAGGATCTGTATAGCATACAACATCACCCTTCGAATTTCAGAGTACCAAGAAATAATCTTCTTCAACTCTTTCTTATCCCCTTCGTTATTCTTTTTGCAGCTATTCATACGAACAATGAAGTTCGTATACTGAGACGTTGTGTATCTCTCCACTTCGTAAGCTTGGAATAAGAATCTCTTGGCTTTTCCATTTTTGTCTTTTCCTGCGAAGACCATGCCAAAAGGCTTCAAGCATATTTCCCCATCAACATACTTCTTCAACTCAGGTTGAGTCTTCGTTGGTTCCATGGGTACTTTCACTTCTAACCCCTTCGCAGTAGCTAACTCCACATCCGTTTGGGCCAAACAATCATAGTAGTTATCTATGAATATTTTGATGTGAGCAAGACCAAGACGAAAAACATCTGGATCAGTCTCTCGAAGATACGAAGCATCTTTGTCTTTCAAGAGTAATGCAACTTGTATAAGATCATACAAGTTCATTAATGGAAAATCAGCTATCGAGAAATTACATTCCTGACCATTCGCCCTTGCAACGTAAAATCGAAGGTTCTGCATCATGTCTTCGAAAAGAACATCCTTCTTAATAATGATCACCTTCTTTATCTTTACGAGTGACCAAATTTCCTCAGGAAGTTTCCCTAGCACAGCATGAAACCTGAGCTTCATGTAAGTGTAATCATCATCATTATCAAACTTCTCAGCAATTTTGTACTGAGCCATGATAAACATCATTTCATTGATTGCGAACTCCAGTTGTCTCATATCCGTATTAGCATCTGCATAGCTTTGCTTCGGCTTCTTATCAAAAGCATACATGTGGTTATATGCAACTCTTGCTTCAATTGTTTCGTAGTTGTAATGCTTCGCAGGATCACCCTTGTTCATTCCAGGTGGGTCACTTGCACGAAGACTTAAAATGCTTTGAACAACTCTTAATTTCTCAACCTCAGCTTCAGCTTCAACTTTCTTCTCTTCTTTCGACTTTTCGACCAAAATTGATTTTCCTTTGTCTTTGATCGAAGAACTATCACCAACTTCCTTGGGCTTTGAACTACTACCACCTTCCCCAATCACAATTCCTTTAGGAATTGGTCTTGAAATTGGCTTCGTAGAAATTGGCATTGTTGTCACAACTGTCGAAGTAACAGGCCCATTAGTTGAAATAATTGGCTTTGAAACTAGAATTGTTGTTTGAAAAATCTTCCCAAAAGTTTTCACAGCTTCATGCGAAACTTCACCAACTTTCGCATTACCAACCTTCTTTTCTCCCCCTTGCACCCCTGTGACCACAGGTAGGGCATCTGTTGGTAGAAGACTGGAAAACTTGGATAATGGAGCCAATTGTTTGTGCATCACAGCCTCGAACTGAGAAAATTTTTGAGACAAGAATTCTGGATTTATGATCGAAGAGGCAACAGGTGTGGTAGACAAAACTTTCAACCCCTTCAACAAAGAGGTAAGCTCCACAAAACTTCGACTGTTATCTGTAGAAAGTTGAGTTACTTGAGGACTCAAGCTTTCATACATCTTGACATATTTCGTGACAGCATCACAAATAACATCCACTTTTTGATTGAGAGATGCATAGTCTTGCTGAGCACTAGCAATCTCTTTGATCATGTCTTCATGAAGTTCTTGAAGCTTGAGATTGATATCTTCGCATACTTGCTTTACATCTTTAACAAACAAGACATGTCTTTCTTTAGCCACCCTTCGTAAATCATGAACTTCACTCACAAAGTTCGAAGATTGAGACTTCACCTGTAATTCATTACACTTATCATTTTGATCCACCTTCTCCATGATTTTAGATTCAGAATCTTGAATCATACCAGAAACTTTACTAACCATCCTGGCTTCGAATGCTTTGAGCATAACGTCAAGTTCCAAACTTGAAAGAGATTGACTTCCCCCCATGCCAGCTTGAGAGTGAATAATGGAATTCATCTTCATATTCAAAATCTTAAACTGCTTCATCGTCATTAACATGTTGTCAGGGACAGTTTCTTCTTCTTAATCAAATTCCATCTCTTCAAATGTTCCCCCAAAACCCCCTTCCTCAACATCAGTATCCTCAGTATTTTGAACTGGATCAGTGGTTTGCGATGAGAACAATGTAGTGATGGGTTGGGTGAGAATGGTTTCAAATGTGGGTGAATTTGTAGTGTTTGAGACAGGAATAATGAACGGAGGTAAAGAAACACAAGTATCAGAAGGTGCAAGAATACCTTGAGTAGAAACAACAATTTCTTTATTCGAATTTCCTTCACCCATATTGACATTTACATCCGTATCAGATACGTGTGTATTGATGTCTGAAGTTCGAACCTCCTCAATAATTGACTTTGTTAACGAAACTTCGGGTGGTGTGACCTTAGTCTGCTCAGGAAGTGATGTTGATTGGAGAATTTTAGCTTCAGGAGTTTCAGGAACTTTCTCCCCTTCGGATGATTCTGCTTGAAGAACCATTTTTCATTTCTTTAGTTTCTTCTTTGAAATGTGAGTAGCAACATCTTCAACTCTTCGTTTCTTGGAAGAAGGAGAAACAGGAGCTGGAACTTTACGAATGAAAATGCATTGGTGATTCAGATATGGTTTTCGAACCATAGAAGAAGACTTAAATGAACCATCAGAAAGCTTTCATGATCTACGAGACTTTTTCTTAACCCTTCGAAAAATACCTGATTTGGATGGAAGTGTTTCTTTTTCTTAAGTATCATCAACATGCTCAACTGGGTCAACCACAACAGTCGAAACTTGTGCATCTGCCTTCGTCTGTTTCGGTGGTGATGTCTTTTTCTTTGGCTCTTGTACTGGTTTCTCAGGAGTAATTGTTACATCCTTCTTTGACTTGCGAGACTTCTTCGAAGGACCAGTTGTTTCTTTTGGCAACAACTTCCCAGACCCATCATCAGGATTGATGGTTTCCAAGTACTCCATTAGAACCAAATGTTGGATTAATGTCTAAGTCCATAACTATAATTGGTAAGACTTGACCCGACCCGGCATGGTCCATTTGGGTTGCATGGCATCATGCATTTGGATAGACTATAATGGGAGAAATAACACTTAAGGTTGGTTAATATATTATAAGTTCTAATATATTAATAAGGTTATTTAATTAGTATTGATCAAGAATTAATTTGGAATTAATTAAGTGATCAAAAGGAGACTAATTAAATATATGGGTTGATTGTGTAAATCATTCATTCTTATATATGTGGGCTTGTGATCCAAGATTCCTTATGTTGGACTAAGTCCATGGAGGTTAAAATCCATGGAGCATAAGGAATGGGTAAAGTTATGAGTTACATGGTGTAACCCTAATAGCCACCATATAAAAGAATCCCATGGCTCAAGAAATCGTGCACTAATGTGTGAGTGTGAGGGCTAGATGATTTCAAGGAGTGTTCAAGTTTCTCTCAAGTTATTCCAAGTGTATTTGGGTGTTGTGTGAACCATTTGAGGTGTCACACTTGGGGCACTAGGCACTCAAGCTTCATGAAGACATTCTACATCAAAGAGGTATGTATTCTATCTTGTTATATTTATTATTTTGTATGCTAGATTAGGATAATACCTTGGATGTTCATAATTGTATGTATAATAGAGAAAACATAGATCCAATGTATTTAGGGTTGCATGTACACTTAGGAGTGTTAGAATGCTCATAACCCAACAGTGGTATCAGAGCCTAGGCTTGTTTTCTTGTTATACTTGCAAAAGTAGCTGAAAAATCGAGTTGGATGCATATATTCGATTGTTTTGGCTGGAATTGGACTAGGAACATTACCCTAAGATGTTTTTGGACTTATAAACTTGTTTTTGATGTGGTAATGTTCATGCTAATCCAATTTCTAAGATAATTGTCATAATTTCAAGATTTGTATTAGTTTGTATGTTCATGCTAATTTCTTGAAGATTGATGATTTGAATTATCTTGTTCTTATGAGGTTCTTAGATTAATAGAAAAGTTGTGTGAAATAGTTGTTTTCAATCCATTTTAATCTAAGAGTTGATTCCAAAGTGTGTTTTTGTAACTTGTCCTCAAGTTATATGAAAAGTCACATTTAAGAATCATAAAACTCATAAAAGTTGGCAAAGGTTACAAAATGAAGAGTCTAGTTCTAATTAAATGGTTTTATGACTCCATAACTTGTCCTCAAGTTATGGAGGTTCAAGAGTCTCTTCATTAAATTAAAAAAAAAGTGTAACCTTAATTAGTTCCATAAGTTACGATAAAAAAGTTATTTTTTTTTATTAATTAGTTTAAAGTCTTCCATAACTTGTCCTCAAGTTATGGAACTTGAAGGTTTTTTTTTTTTTTTTTTTTTTTTTTTTTTTTTTTTTTTAATTAAAACTATTTTAAACTCATAAGTTATGGAATTAATTAGTTTTGAATAGTTACAAAAATTTCCCTCAAGTTTTGGAATTTGAAAAGTTTTCACTTATGAATACTTTAATTCCAAGTTAGCCCTTAGAATTTTAAAAGTTAAAATTCAACCCTTATACTTTATAATATTATAAGTTAATAATATTTATATATATGTATAAGTGTAAAGTCAGTCTTACCGTTAGTAGGCCTCATTCACGAAGCCGGTTTATAAGGGGGGGGGGGTATAAGGTGACTGCCTATAAAATGGCAGTTTAATGGGTGTCCACTCTCACCCACCGCTTCCTTGACTGGTGGAGGGTCGTTAGCCGAACGGGTAGGACAAGGACTATAATTCTCCTTTCATTAAAAGTATTAATGATAAATACTAAGTAACTAAACTCTTCTTAATACCCAATCTTAGTTACTTAGGAAAATGTGAATTTGGTGCTAACCCATGAAATTACACTTTGCACTTTGCTTAAGTCGTTAGTGGAGCGTGTGTGGTTAACCGGCACACTAACCTGGACTTAACAAGGTAGGCAAAGGGTAACTTAATATTTATCATAGTATCGGTGGAGCGTGTGTGGTTAACCGGCACACTGATTAAGGGGTAAATATTAAGGGTACCAAGTATATTTGCATGGTTATTCACACCTTGTTTTGTGATCCTCGGCATCCCAGTCACAAAACCTGAAGGGCACACTCGAGATTGAAACATGCCTTTGAACAGTTCAATGAATCTCAAAGATCTAGGACTTTCAAATCCAATTAAAACCTAATAAATTATTTCGTTTTTCATGGTGGAAATTGGTGAATCGTCATTCACCTACCTTCAAATATTTTATAGCTTGGATTACGGCATCCCTCTTCTAAGTTATAAAATAGTTTGTTGGGTCCTAGCCTTAATATTTCATATTGGGTGTCATATTAAGGACTTTAAATCAACTATCTTGAATATCTCCCAAAAAGATGTCTGGTCTAGACATTTATGATCTTCCCAAATCTCTTGAAACAAGCTTTCCTAAATGAAGATGATGTCCCATGGATATCATACTTCTTTCACCTCCTCCAATTATTCTCCCTAACCCACAAGTTCCTAAAAAGTTTAGGTCACTCAAGCCCTATTGGCAAGGCAAGGTCTAGGTGTGATCACATCTTGGAGATGTAGTCACATATTGACAAGCCGGGAGAGTTGGGTGTCAAAGTCTTGAGAAAGTTGGTGGCTCAACTACTTTCTAAGTCACATAGTGAGTTCTTTTGGGAATCCTATGAAACAGACTAAGACAAGACCCTTAATGATCTTATCTATTTGCTAAGATCAACTTCCTAAAACGCTATGGACATTGACAATGATGACATTGGATATCCAGTAAAGCTCTCTCTTCCCAATGGAAAGGGATCGGCCATAGTCAACTCGGTTGACCCAATGGTAAAGAGAGAGGCGAAGTCTGAGATAGTCCCATTATCAAGGGTCCATAGGTAACTATTGCCAAAGGAAGGGGCATTGGTTACGAAGCTGCCAAATTTACCTAAGGATGTTAAAGTCAATAAGTTTGGCTCTACTTCAGGTAAAGTCCATTGTCTAACTCTATTAAGTACATGCTGATTCTGATCGCGAAGATGGATTTCAATCGCATGGTTCGGTGATCAGAATTTTGGGCTATTACTTAAGAGTTATGATATTTATATTGCTTAGGAATAGATAACAACAAGGTTTTCATATGGAAGTTTATCTGCAAAGTTTTAAAATAAAAGAAAAAGGTTTTGATTTTATTTATTTTAAGTATCCTTACAATGACATTTGTGAAAAGTTGTTGCTTATAAGATTCCATTGATAGCAATATTGGAAAAATGGATTTGATTCTTTCGGTTGTGGTAGTGTCTAATATTACCAAATACGGAAAGATTCTCATCACCCAAGGTTCAATTGGACCGAAACTTGGAATCATGCAAGTTGTATAGTATGATGAATGAGAACTTTCAGCTTGGAAAATTAAGACTAACTCCTTATGTGAATAAGGAAATGACTAAGGGATCGAGTACACATTCTTGTGCACTGGTCAAGTCCACCACAAAAGATCAAGAAGACTATTCGTCATGATTTACTTAAGTTCAGTAAATATGGTTATACTTATAAGTTTAAGTATAAGTCTGTAGCATTGGAGAAGTTTCAATGTGAGACAGAACGAATAAGAAGAATCAAAGTATGGCAGAAAGATAAAAGTTTCTCAAATCTGAAAAGATGGGAGAGTACTTTAGTATCATGTTTGTGATCATCTTAATGATTTAGAAATCATATCACAATTAGTCCTCTAAAGGTCATCTTAGTGCATTCTTATGACTAAGAAGAGGAGTCATGAATTGTTGAAATGGTTAGATCAGGAAGATGAGTCATACTTCGTTCCAAAACAATTCTTAGAGTCATACTCCAAGATTGTAACTTGAGTGACATATCTTAAAGAGGGTTTGTTAACACTAGTCAAATGTAAGAGTAAAAGGTTATCTACTCTTGTACATTTGAAATTGGTAAGTTGTGATGTTTTGGATAAAACAGAGACCAACTTAGGCCAATTGTGTAAAGCGTTAGTCTTGATAAAGAATCCGCACTATCTCTTGAATATTTGACAAGGGAGTCTTATATGTCAAGAGGACAGTGGGAGTCTTAAAGCTCTTGAAAGTTTCAAGACTTAATCAAGAATAAAACCTAAAGTCCTTCACTAGCACACGACTTGAGGTTTATAACCTATCGTGTTGAAATTTTTGTGCCTATTCAAGTTGGCTTTGCATAGGAGTTCTGAGAGTTCTCAATTGGTTGCACAACTACTTGGAAGCAATGGCAGGCACCTGAGCTGCCAAATGGCAAGAATTTAAGATTGCACAAGTTTAATCAATATGAGTTTGGATTTATCACTAACCTTGTCTTGTGATTATGGTTTTGACAAATTCACATGGATAAGAACACATACACTATTAAATCTAAGTGTCATAAGGTTTCTCTCCGATTCATGAAAATGATGGGGAGGAAACACTTTCACTAAGTAGATTTTAGCTATATAGCAATTGTGATATTTGCATTCTCAAAGTCGTTAGTGGAGCGTGTGTGGTTTACCGACACACTAACATGGACTTGTGAGAAGTGGCAAAGGTCTAAACAATTGAGACTATGATTACGGCATCCCTTTTCATAGTGACAAGAAGTTAAGATTGGAAGCAATGGCAGG